TATATATGGGTCACTCCACTTCACTTCCTATGCTTCTTTACTCATTATCTCGGAATTTTTTTAAAATTTCTTTATAAAGCGGGTCTGTGCCCAGATCTAAGAACCAAATAGAGGACTTGAAAGCGAGTCCTATTCCAAGTCGTAGGTCCTCAAGGCTGTTAAACTGGCAGAAAGTTGCTTCTCAGTACGTGTATTTTCCGAGGTTGTGGTTCAACTTGGCTCTGATAGAATTTAATTTTTTTTTGATCAATTAGATGCGATATGTCTCGTAATTCTAAACCATATTAGAATTTATAACTCCGTTTTAGTAGTTGGGAGAGTGCAACAAAACCATGTTTTTAGAAAAATATAAAATAAAATCATTTTCAAATGTTTAAGAGAACAATTATTTTGCAGGATTCTTTACTGTATAAATGTTAAAAATTGGTGGTGACCTTTTGTCCAAGCCGGGAGTTATGGAACAGGAATAAGTGAGACAGGGAATACTCTGTTACTTTTGAAGTAAATCCACGTATTTTTTAGTGGGCAACTGGTCTTCATCTGCTTTTGAAAGCTATAAAGAATGACTGCCAAAGTCAGCACAACCGAAATCCCAATAAATGGACCGCATGTACGTTTCTGCAGGCTTGGAAGTTTTTTGCTTCGCTGATCTCTCAAATGCTGAAATAGGATTTCCCACGTCCCACGCTTTCTTCGCTTAAAAAGCCAAATGTTCTTCAAGAATACCGAATTTTAAGAATACCGAATTTTTGTAGTTGCTTTCTGCGGCTTTGAAAAGCGGCTGAAGACACCTCTGCAACGATAAAATGCGCTGACTACTATATAGGCAGTTATCTTTTTCAACTTTACATTTTTTTCAGCCTATGAGTTTCGATCAGAGCTAATTGTCATCATCAGTTTGTAAAGTTTCATATAGCAAAAAAATTTACATGCAGAGTACGTCTTTTTTTTTTTTATGAATTTCAAGATACGTTCTCTAAATATTTCTTTAAACTTTTGCCTTCGTTATACTTGCCCAACTAATAAACGGAATCATAAGTTGTAACATAATCTGAAAGTGGAGAACTCGTGAAACACGATATTAAATCTGATAAAACAAAAACCAAAATTCCGTCAAGGTTGAGGTGAACTACACGTCTGGGAAGAGAGGCATTTTAAGTAGCAATGTGGCAAATTTTAGAATTTTGAAATAACTTGACAAGAAACTCTCTTTGTCAGGTCTTCTTTTTAGTTTTCAATTTATCGTCAGACTCCACCAACCAACGAAGTTTAAAACAATTCTGAGACATCAAATGAAAGAGTGTGCGAACTGGAGCTCAGTGGCCTATATATATGTGTAAGGGCCACTCCACGCAAGGCCTCACACTTTTTTACCTTGGGTTCTCAGATTTTTTTCATTTTTTAACTACTCGTAACACTTGATCTCGGATTTTGAAATCAAAAGAGGTCACCTCAAAAAGCGTGCTGGCAGTAAATTTAGGCCGTCCTAGACCGTGAAAAAAAAAAATGCAATTCACCGTCTACACGGTCACTTTTGAGGAATTGCAGTTTGCTATATTCACAACTGATTTTCTTCATTTTTACTTCGTTTCAAAGCAGTCTCCGGCAGACTCAGAAAAAAAAATTCTTACAATGACAAATTTTTATTTTAGATTAAAATAAAAACAAAAATTCAAAATCTCTTTTCTTAAAAAATAACATTTTAGATTTTTTAAAAATAATGTATTTTTTAAGGACATTTGCTCTTTGCTTTTTGATCCGTCTTAACTCAAAAATATTACACTCAGTACCGGTTTTTGACTGCAAGTATCGTTCTTCTTCTATTGTTGTAGCAGTGCATTAATCTGAGACTTGGAGGCATATTGAAAAGACTAACAACGATGGGCGGCATGAAAGAGACACTTTCATTATAAAGCCTAACTCAAAATGACCTTACAAATAGGCTCCGAACAAATGAAAGGATATAGCAGTGATTCTAGCACTTTCATTATGAAAAAGGGCAAAAAGAACTTCCAGAATTGCGTTCCCGAGTACACTCAAAATTTTACTCCATTATACTACGAAGGGCTGAGAAAAAAATAACAAAAAAATACCTGCAATCAAAAAACAGTACTGCGTGTGATATTTTTGAGTTAAGACGGTTCAAAAAGCAAAGAGCGATGTGAACCAAAAAGGTAACCATAACAGCAATTTTTTCTAAAAAACTTTGTAACAATGTTCAAAAGTAAATGAAGTTTAACTAATTGTCCGTCACTAAAGTAGTAGAGTTGAAGAGTTCTACAAGAATAATATTTTATCACAAATAATAAAAGTTTAGTTGAAACAGAGGGTCTGTCACCTGCGAAAGCTCCAAAATGCTGATTCAGTTGGGGGTTTTTTGTCAATCTACTATCACTAATCGCACTGTAATTCTTGATGCCAAAAAGATACCATTTCACAATTTCCATATTTTGTGCAAAAACTGTGTCTTTGAAAAACACAACATTTTTAAAAAACTTAAAATGTTATTCTCAAAAAAAAAAAATTGAAATTTTCGTTTTTATTTTAATCTAAAATAAAAATTTGTCAGTGTAAACGTTTTTTTTCCTGAATTTTTCGAAGACTGCTTTAAAACAAAGTAAAAATGAGAAAAATCCGTTTTGAATAAAGCAAACTGTAACTTCTTAAAGATGACCGTGTAGAGGGTAAAATGCATTGTTTTTTCACGCTTTAGAACGGCTTAACTTTACTGCCGATACACTTTTTGAGGTAACCTCTTTCAATTTCAAAATTCGGTATCAAGTGCTACAAGTAGCCAAAAAATGAAAAAAATCTGAGGGGTCGAAGTAAAAAGTGTGCGACTTGGCGTGAAATGGCCCATATAATATATGTTTCTCATTCCTAGTTATTTTAACCTTTAAGAAACGCTCAAGTAATTTAAAAAGATGTTAAAAGCAATTGGCGATTAGAATGTGCAAGAGTGTGACTTAAGACAGATAGTATTATTTGAATATAGTCCCTACCTAAAATAAAAGACAACAACTGATTTTAGTAGTATCTGGGACGCTGTCAACTTCTTCTTTCGACTGTTTGAGCTTTTTCTAACAGATAAAAAAAAAATTAAACTAACAAATATACATATATACTTTGTTTCTGTTAATAAAAGAATTCCAAGTCATATTTATTTGAAAGAGTGGAAGTGTATTCAGTTATAACTTATAAGTTTGTGATTTGAGAATTCCAGCTAGAAATACATCAAGATAATGTTTTCTAAATACCTTTGTGCAGTTTTGAATCGTTCAAAAAATTTCTTTACTTAGTAATGAATATGGAGAGATGGCTATATAGGCATAATTCCTACTTTTTTCTGTACCAACCATGCAAAATTCCAATTTTTTCAACCAACAACCACTTCATTTCCTTGGTGCCAATAGCAAGAGCATATAGAAGTTGGGAACTGAGTCTACAGCATTTTTTCAAAGCGAAGTTTCAGAATGTGACCGTGACTTACGCAAGTGGTACTGCTAGATTCTGTATAGTGAGTGGTTGTTGGTTCTGAAATTACTAATAGACCTTGAAAGTAAAGATAAAATTTTTCAGTTTTTTAAGTTAAGATTCATTTTTCGCCTTTTAATCTTCTACAGTTTTTTAGAGAACTTGGTTGTGAAGCAGCTGCACCAACCATGCAAAATTCTGATTTTTTCAAAAACATCTCGCTACATGTCAACTGGAGCGGTATGATCCAGGAATTTCCCAGCGGAAGACATCTGGCAGCGCTGCCCAGTGTTTCAAAAGTAGGCGTACCAGCTTCTTAATTTAAGCATAGACGTCATGAATTTAGAAACAGTAAGAAAGATTAAGGAAACGATGGTCAAAATGAATTAAGAAATAATTAGTCCAACAGCATCAAGGGAGCTTTTCACTACAAAACGCAGGATATTACGCCAAATAACCATTATGGCAGTCTTCTAGTGTGTTGTGCTGTATTTGTTGATTCCAAACGCAGTCAAAAAGGAAAAAGAAATTGTTTTTATCTGTGTCGCTTATACAACACTGCCCGTTTGAAAAGTTTTATTTAAAGGACCAAGTCCCATTGAAATCAAGAGAGAGTATGTCAAGTGAGAAAAGACTGCGTGAGACGACAGGAAGGAGGCAAAATTAGATTATAAGGATTTTTATAGTTCACTGATTTTGCAATAAAGAACGAACAACAAATTCCCGTCTTCTTCAAAGTTATTCTAGGTGTGTGAGCAGCTAGCAGCTGAAACTTCAAAAATGGTGGAAAGAGAAAAGCCATTTGCAGTAATTGGTGGTGACCATAGTTGTGCCATAGGTACTTGGAGTGGGGTTGCGAAGGCACTGCGATCAAAAGGCGACCTCGGTCTGATTTGGATTGATGCTCATTTGGTTAGTCGTTTAGAGGAAATTTCTGGTCACTTTATCTCTTTTACGGCTGAGTCAATGAAGAAGTAACAAGTGTGGGACTATGCAAACTAAGAAACTTTCTACGGGTTTTTTAAGTTCTCTTCAGGACGCACATACACCAGAATCAAGTGATACCGGTAATATACATGGGATGCCAGTAGCACATTTACTTGGCCATGGAGCAAAAGAGCTTTGCGAAATTGGTGACAAACTACCAAAAATTTTGCCCAAAAATATGGCTTTCATTGGGATCCGAAGCTACGAGCCACCAGAAAAAGTAAGAAATAGTTTGACTTTATTTCAATCGGGAAGTCGCTGAAAAGCTGCTTTAAGCGCTGGCCATTAAAGTAAACGACATTATGCCTTGATGATAACAAAAATGCAAATTTTCTTCCAGAAACTTCTGGAAGAACTTGGAACTCGAGTGTTTTATATTGAGGAAGTGAACCAAAAGGGTATTGACACGTGTTTCAAAGAAGCTATCGAGACTGTTACAAAGTATGTGAGTTACCCATTGTAGCTTTTTGTAGTTCAGTCCAAATGCTTATAGGATTAGTGCTTTTTCCCCGCTGCTCTTTACATTGAAAGATATCATTTTGACATATTCTGAATCTCCTCGATAAACTTTTCCTTCCCAGGTTTCTTCTACATCTAAATTTGCAAGTACAAGGGCTTACAATTTCAGGAATACTGTTGGTTACGGGATCAGTATTGATATTGATGGATTTCGCGTGTCTGACGCGCCAGCGGTCGGAACCCCCGTTGAGGGCGGAATTGTTGCAGCGGATTTCTTGCACTCAATGAAAAAACAGAACCTCTCAAAATTAATCGGTTTAGAGGTTGTAGAATTTCTACCAAAATTTGACGACGCAAATAAAACAAGGTAATTTGCTGATTTTCATAAATGCAACCGATTTTCGCTTTCTGCTCCCAACAGAACCAGTTATACATCCCAGTGTTACTTATCCTGTTGCATACAGTGAACGGCTGGTAGCGAACCTAATTGAAACGATATATCGACGACGATTTGAGCTGTTTGGATTACGAGAAAGCGCTCATCAGGGCTAGAAATTCGTTATAATTTAGGCGGGCGGCCCTCCCATACCTTAGCCATATTTAAAGTTTGATCTTCCACTGTCGGCTATGGTGTCCGTCTATGTCGTTTTAAAAGCAGTTCACATTCAACTTTTCGAAAACTTTTTATTAATACCTTCTTTTTCTCCAGATGATTGAACTCTTAGCTTGTTTTACTGTAATAAGCTTAATATAATCCTTATTATGACTGTCCAGAGCATTGGTACAATGTAACTCATAAATCTTTCAATGCACACTCTATCCGTCTCGATAATAATATCTTAATACCCCCACCGATGGTAGCCGTAAAAATAATATCTACCGATAATGTTTTAATTTAACGCCCCCCACCCACTGACTGGCTAGATGTTTTTCTGTAAGTAAAAGTAGGGAGGGAACAATAGACAGGACAAAAGTAAGGGAGCGGCAGCAACTAAAAGAAGAGCAGAAAGACAATCAAGTCCTCAGGAAGTACTCGCCACTCTCTAAGCCATCTTAAACCTTGGTAATCAAACATTCTTTGAGTAACCACTACCCCCTACTTGCCTCAAACTTATATAATCAAATACTTTTGTACCTGCGATGCAACATCACCGTCCCCAACCATCCAACATTATTATGCTCCTTTTTCCGCTAAACTTTGACCCCTCTTTCAGCCAAGGATTAAAGCTATCCGCGGTGTTCCACTGCTATCTGTAGATCCTCTAACTCTCAAGCATACAACCCCGTCGCCACAAAGCGTCTGCAGATCTACCGGTCGAAGTTGGAAATGAGCAACATTTCTCGTTGTCTACAGCAAAATGCGAAGACAGCGACGTCTCCTTCACCTTCCTTATAGGTGACGGAATTGTCCTAGTTACTATCTTCTAAATTACATCCGTCCTCAACAATTACCGAATTTAAACTTGCCCTAACGGATTGCACAAAGCCGACCTCAATTTACCTATGATTACTAAAGCAACCAAATGAATGCCCCTACAAAAGCACAATATTCAGAAGATAAAATAGTAGGCAAAATAACCAGATCATTTACCTGAAGATATACCGCATCTGAAGATATCAAAGAAAAAAAAACAAAAAAAAAGCTTTTGGCCTCGGCAGAGTACCAAGAAAGGAAGGAAGGTAAATCTACAAATAGCAGCACAGTCGTTCTGGACAGTTATCGCTATTAATGCTATTTAATAAATTTATTACCAAACCAAACCCTTTTGTGTCATTTCTTTAATTCGTAACAGTACAGACTCAAAAAATGACTGGTGATTGCAAATACATGATAATGAACGAACCAATATTGGTTTCCAACAAAAATTTCACTGTGAGAAAGAATAGACTGAACTGTAAAAGAGTGGTCACGGAATCGCTTTGTGCGCTTTTGGCTAACATCGTCAAACACAGCAGTGAGGGGGCATTGTAAGACATATTTGACTAAAAATAATTCCGTTGCGCAAAGCCAACAGGGCTATTTTTAGCAGGCACTTTAGCTTCACCTCCCCAAAAACATGCAACCGTTTGAATCACAATTAGGAAAGAAGCATAAATTTACCAAGTGAAATAACGTGTTTCAAATTAAATTTATAGGCTTCAGTCTGAAAATTTAGTTTGAAACACATTCATAGAACCAACAGTTGAAACATTGAAACAAGCAACAAAAGTATTCACTTTGGACTCATCCACCCGCTAAACAAAAGGGACGATTTAAAAATCAATATAAGAAAACTGAAACGTTACAATTCCAATAAAAAACAATCCAGTAAGGCAAAAATGATATCACAGTGAAAAACAGGAGTGTTAACTAAATGTCATTAAGTGCTAACGTTAACTAGTGATCCATAATTCTCGGTTCATGAGCCAAATAAAAGCACCTACTTAAGAAAAAAATTTACAGAAAAACTTTATCAGATACCTCAGACTCGATTGAAGCGGGGAAATAATGCTTGTTTTCAAGATGGCTTTCCGTCCCAAAAAGCAGAGTTTTGTCGAGAACGAAGTAAATTGAAGCAGGAAACACAAACTCGAGTTGGTTTAGGATTCGATGGAAGTTTAACCCTTCCATCACTACAAGAATTACAGAAAATCATTCCACAGCTCCTAAAAAATGCCCATTATCTTATAACATTGTCAAAAATCCCAAGTAATCCCATGTGTAAAACCAAAAACAAATAATTCTTCAACGTCGAAATGCGGACATAACAAAAATTTATGATATAACGCAAAATCCCAATTGAAAAACAATAACCCCTTATACCTGCAATGATGTTTCCTTCTACTAACAGAAAAAGAGGCATTGCACGCTTTACAATTAGCCACTTCAGCATCATCTTGCCACTCTGCCTCAGAAAAAGGCAAAAACTCTTCCTTGAGCTCCAAAATCCGCAACCCCGACCTTAAATGATCATCTTATTCGTTAAAAAAAATTTAATCAACACCGCGAAGTAAAGCTGTGTGAAGAAGAAAGAAGAATAAATATACTTACTAAGAACTTCAAATCTCAAAGCAAAGATGAAATCATGTTTGAAAGCGCTCACTCAGAAAGGTGTCCTCCAAGTTCTTCGAGAGCTTTTTCGTAATCAGCAAGTTTCATACTCTGATTTTCTTCACTAATTTTTAATGCAGCTAACTCCTGAAAGCAAAGTAGGCCTAAGCTCGTTTCCAATTTTAAAAAGTAATTTTCTCAAAAAATGAAGCCAGATTATAGAAGTTCAGCTGATACCTCTTCCAAAACAGGTATTCTTCTTAATTTTTCCGCAAAAGACAAGTTTTGCTTCTGCAATTTCTCTATTTTGAGATTAGCATCATTTAGCTCGTTCTAAAATAGCTGTATTTTACCGTCAGCATAGAACACCTCACAAAGACTACTAACTCTGATGTAAAATAAGCCCCGACATAAAAATTTATAAAATCACCTGTTTGTCACTTAATACTGACAGTGTCTGCATATACTCATCAGTCTTACTTAACAACTCATTTTTTAGCATATCCAACGTATTAGAATTCCTTTCCATTTCAGCTTCCCTTTCAAGACTTCGAGATTTCAGTACTTCATTTGCTGCTAACCATTCTTCTTTCTCCTAAAAGATAAGCACACAAAAAAAGATATATATATATAAGGTATAGTTGAATTAAAAGAAAAAAGCTACTTGTATATGGCGCTCTTTCAGACCAATAAGTTCGCCCTCGAAAAGCTTGCACTTCTCTTCTATCATACGAATTTTCGTATAAAGATCTTCATTAATCTTCTTTGTATCAGCAAGCTGTTGCCGCAGAGTATTTATTGTATCATTATTTTCACCGACAAGCTGCATGTAAAAATCTCTAGAAATAGTTTTAAGACCTGTTCGTAACCAAATATTTCATTTATAGCATAGAATTCAATTAATCAGTATTTTAATAAATCAATTGAAAAAAATAAGAAAGCATAAATGTTTCATTAGTATTTTTTAACGATAAACAAGTTTTGAGAAAAAGATAACCGCATTCAACCTTTCTTTTTCAAGATTCTCGACCACATTTCTGCCTGCTGTTGATATTTCTCCAATGCTGCCAACATCCTGTTTAAAACGTAAGTATACAAAAATACCATGTACCACTGATAGCAAAACTAAAAATGGACATGAGCAGAGAAAATATTTACCGTTTCTGCTTTTATCAATGCATCCTCAAAACCAGCAATTTTGGTTTTTAATACCGCTACAGATTGCCTAAAAATCAATAGTACGGCAAATAATTCAATAATTATCGTCAAAGAAAATAGTCAAAAAATAATTACTCCAAGTAACGATTTCGTTCTTCTAAGTAACTCTTCTGATCCAGTAAAATTTTCAGATCTTTTGGTGATGTTTCACTAGACATCTTTGACACTTGCTCATCTTGTGACAGCAAAGACGGGAAGCGAATATAAGAGGAAAGATCTATGGAGCTGTAATGCAAGAAAGACAGCTAAAAATCTTGACATCTCCAACTTTCAAGTGAAGTTCATATAAGAAAATAGAGATTGAATAAGAACCTACGGTGGTTGTTCTTGCAAATAAGTTTGGTCTAACATCAAGTTGCAGTCAATTACAGACAAACCGACTAATGACCCTGCTAAGATCCCAGACTCTTCGTGGCGTATAAAAGCCCAATCTTCATAACAAATCCTGAAATTAAATTGACCAATTCTTCAAATGATTCCGAAAAATTTAAGTTTGAAAACGTCAACGCCAATTTGGCGCAGAACAAAAAGACTACTTTAAAATTTACAAAAAACCAACTCCAATATGCTGGAAGACAAAATATGATAAAAGTAGTCACTAAGTTTTTTTTGCATAACTGCCAGTCTCAAAAATGCTCGAACGCGAGCAATCGAGGTCCTGAAAAAAACTAAAATCATAAAACACTTTAACAAGTGTCCCACAGAGTTAGACTGCTTGCTCATACCAGAAAGATCGTAACCGTAAACATACAATAAATTGTCTAGGTTATTGATACACCGAACACATTCGTTCATTTCAGAATGTAAGGCGGAAATCCGCGTTAAACAACGCCACAGCTCCGCGTCTGCAGGGCGAACAGCCAACAGCGTACGCTGCGCTTAAGCAGTTTCGTTCTTATACTTGAATTTACTGATGTATTCAGTATCGAACTTTTCTATAACGTCGTAAAAAAATTTTGGCGAATGCCAACCTTTGAAGCCATGCCACAAAACCTTCTCCAGCATCATCAATAAATCAGAAAGCTGCTGAATATCTCCGTCGAGAACACGATGTGCCAATTTAATGCTGGTCTCTAAGAAACTTTTAAGAACTACTCGCGATATTACCAACAGGTTCGACCTTTCGTTGGCTGCAAAGAAGGAAGTGTAAAGTTAACCTACCTGACACCGTACTGTATTTAGTAACCAGCTTTCTACTATTACTTTTGGTCCGCAAAACCGAGACCTTTCAACCTGGTATCACACTTTCGTTACAAAATATTGATGGCTTTAAATAGTAAAAAACCTCGATGCTGCTTTTGGGAATGACTTAATGACGGATTTACATCGAAACCAAGGAGATCCAGGACTTCCATACTCTAAAA